GCATTGTCGCATGTGTGAAGTCCGAAACTAGTTAATCTAAAAGCTGTGTGTCCTGTTAATTGTTATCAGGAGTAGGTTCGTTCATCGACGCAAATGTAAAATTAAATTGAAATTCTGTATCAATTACAGCATAATTTATTAATTATTCCAGTGTTTAGCAGCAAAATAATTGTAGGCGTAAATATTTGAAAATAATTTGGCGATGGTATTACAATTATGCTTTATTTATTTTTGGGCGTTGTCAGTTTCTGCTGTAAAAACACGGAAGCCGATCCACCCCTCTAAACGACGCGATTATTTTTCAGATCTCGATGAACGCAGTTGACTGGCGATACTTAGAGCCCTCCTCAGTTGGGTCCGGTAGACCGAGTTATTCCCGATCTGACGAATTCTTTTATTTATTTGTTTTAAAGCATTACTACGTTTCGACGATCGGAATAGCTCAGTCTACCGGATACAGTAGTGCAGTGTCTCCCCCTTATAAAAAGGACAGTCGTCCATGGCCTTCTGCCCCCAGATTGCGAAGCAATAATTCGATACCGTGATTGTTTTCAGTGGACATCTTCTCCAACGAGAACTCGCTTTTCATTCTGGCGAGGCGTTTTTCACGTCACGTGCTTACGTGAACAGACGAAGTAACGAACACGAGCACAGAAAATTCGACGTTTTTCCAGAAACAAGTTCTGACGATGTGAGGCGTGTTTGGAAGCAGAGGGTCGTCACTTCGAGCTTCCCGTGGCAGCTACGGGATCCAGTTTAACGATTAGCTGAATTTCTTCCAGAATAAGCAGCTGTTAATTCCTTAAATAACATTAGCCATTTGATTTTTGTAGTGGAGAAGTGTTTTCTTTGCAGTAGGGGCTACAACTTTAAATCTTATTAACACGAACTTCGACTTCAAAGAGTTAAGTCACAGTTTGTGGTGTCTGATTTCCTTATTACGTATCTAAACTGTTACGACTTAATTATTATTAAGTTTAAGTTTAAAAGTATTCTATTCTAATATTGCAAGAGTGTGTGGCGGGAACGCAGGGCGAAAGCAGTTAATTCGTACGTCGTAGTGTTAATTACTGGCGCGAAGTTGTTAATTATTTTGTGTCACGTGAGCAATGAACGATTTTGTGAAAACAGCGGCTGTTCGGAGACGAAATGACCAGGTGTTCGCCGAATGTCGCAAGGTCAGACAAGCAGGCTGCGCTATTGCACGTCGATAGACGAGGATCACCGGTCTTAGTGCGAATCTCGTGTCATCTGATTGATTTCTAGTTTAATTGAGCTAATTTGGCTCTAATGACTATTGCTGTTCAGCCTAGCTTTCATTGCTTCGCGTCATGTATGATTTTAGTGTCTATTATAATGGAATGGTTGCAGGAAGATTTGCGATTTTATTGTATTTTGTCATAGAAATATTCTGCACATGAAAGTTAAAAAAATTATGTTTCTGTTTGATTAGACTGAAGTGTTGAGGCAAAAGTTCTTAAGTTACTCGGTCGCTTGGTTGTGAACAACGTATTTATTATGTCTTAATGAAGGAAGGAATATTTTAACGAAAAACGTGATTTATTGGAAACATAAAGTCGTTAAAATTGTAACAACATAAAATATTAATCAACGGCTTAGATTAATTTTATTGTAATTTCTTCCTGTTTAATCGCCATTTTTGTAACCCAATTTGAAATCAGTCGAGATGTTTCGGAATCGTCTTATTTCCTTTTTCCGCTTAACGTGTGTTAAGACACAGGGATATTTGCAGTGTGAAAGAACATCGGTTCATTAAACATTCAAACAGGAAATTGTGCTAGTTTTTAATGTAAGAAAACATGACATTGCACACGAAAATGTCGGAAAGACATTAATACGTATGATCGATTAATTATAATTAACATTATGTTGAATAGGTAGTTGCAGATTGCACCATCGTTTAACTACGAGTCGTATATCGTGAGTTTTTTCCACCCACTTATTAAGTAGCTGAGCGTTGCCACGTACAGCGCTGATGAGATCGCTTTAGCCCTTATGTCCGGATCCCCTGTTTTCAGTGCACGTGCATCGTGTCTCAAGGTCCCCTCCCCGTCCCCCCCTTAGCCTCATCGTGGGAAATTGCAGGTGTCCGGAGTCGTTTTCTGTTCTTGTTTGTCAACCAAATTATACGCGTTTATGAAACGCACAATGCCCAGTCTGTCTGTACAGCTCCCAGTAACATTGCGACAGCCCTGAAGACTCTACGGATTTTAATTAAATTTGGAACTGGCAGACTTTAATAAAGTTACCCGGACCTGATTCTGGTCCGCGTTGGACCACCGCAATCTACTCGGCCACGTTTCACACGCTAGAGCGTCGCTGCCGATATCACAGAAGGCGTAACGTGTGTGTGGGGGGGGGGAGATACAATTCATCGTCTCTTTACCAGAAACGCTGATGACAGTTGCAGTTAAAGACCGAGCAATGTGCAGAAGTTCCGATACATAATTCCGGAACTCTGACGCCAGGCAGCTACAGCTATCTAGTACTTCAAAGCGTCGCGATGCGTATTTCGCCAGACCAGGTAAATCCTGTAAGGAGGAACGGCTATAACGGTACACTGCCTTTTTATTACTCAGGAGAATTTCTAGCAAATTCGAATTTTCAAAGATCGTTTAGCGGTGGAGTTCTAGATGGTCACGCAGTAATTTAATATTATTAAAGAAACAAGAAAAGAGCTCATACGTTTGAAAGAATTTGTAGAGCGTAAAGAATAGTGGGTTGAACATGTAGAATGACTCTCCGTTCTTATGATATTCGTAATGCGCAGTTAAACATCAGCACTCGGCTCTCGAATTCGACGATGCACTGGATTAATTCGTCGTTGCCGAAACTGAAATGGAAGGGAATTGACAAAGCTGATCGGTCAAAAGAAGATGAATTCTATTTTGATGACCTTGAAGTTCTGCAGTTTGCTTTCAACAGGAAGGAATTACAAAACAAACAGCAACACATTGGTATGTTAACTTCTTATTCTCATCCTTATTTCAATGCGATTTACAATGTATATACAGAGTGAAACGAAATTTGCGCACAAGCTCCGCCTAGCGTTTCCTTGACAAAATACAAACCGAGAGAATATTATACCTGTTATATCACTACATAAAAAAATTTCAGAATGAGCCCCCTCCCTTCCAAGCACACACACGCAGTCACAAACGCGCTTTTGGAATACACGGATCTTGTGGTGTTTTACCATTCGCCGTATGCCTTTAATTAATTCGATTTTAATTACCAAATTGTTGCTTCACGCATCGTTTACTGATGAGATGGGCGTTGTTGGAACGAGTCAACTTTCAGGTGGAGGAGGGCTTAAAATTTAAATTATGGTTGTTCTGTGTTCGCATTTTATGAAAAATCTAAAATTCTGCCTACTGAACACAATTTTCCGTGTCATGTAATTGTCTCACTTACGTCTGTAAATACAAGTGTAAGATTTTATATATTTCAGTAAAAATGTAACTATTTATAATTATGCCTGAATGATGTCTTCTAATACAGTTTCGGTATAATTAAATTCGTTAAAAAATTCGCACCCCTTCGCGAAATTGTGTTCGCAAAAACATTTTCGGTTTTGACAACCATTTTGCAACTGAAGCACTGATGAACAAATTCTGGATTTTTGTGATTTGTTTCAATTCTTCTTCTTCCTGTTTTTGGAATTCGAATTCGGCATCAAGAAATACAATTTTATTTTCCGCGTTTGATGCTACCCAGATAAAAATACTTTTGCTTCTTTGCCAAGAGCCGATGACTGTGGTAAAATGATTCCCGTTCTGAGGTAAGCCACATACACGGGACAGATTATGGCTTTGAATTGTGTTTATGATTCGGTGTATTCAGAAGCAAAGCCGTTCATTTATTTATTCGTCACGTGAATGAAGAGAGGCCTTTATAATGAACTGAGTTTGAATTTCGATTGCACCGTAAAGCATATTTGTTTGCTGTCACTGTCAGTTTCGTACAAATGCAAGTTCACTTGTCTCATAGACAAACGCTGAGTTGCCTGGAACCGATTGGCGTCGTTCACGAGTCTGTCATGACGTCGAAATAAACTTCGGTTCCGTGCTTCAAAAACGTATTTGCTCCCTTTAAAGTGAAATAATAACTCATAGTGCATAACAATTTAACAAAGATAGTGTACATTTATTAAACATTGAGGTATGTTTGGCAATATGTACTAAGTAAATGCACGATTTTAAAGTAGATTAATTGTTATCTGTTCCCGTCATTCAAAACTATTCAAATATCAATAATAAAAGATAAAGTGCCAAATTATTCTCCCTGTATTTAGACTGTGAAAGCACGCCTCTAGGTTAAGTAGTCTGAAGTATTCTCCGTCTTTATCTTAGATTCAGTCTTGAAATTGACAAAGCGCACACACCTGCCAACCTAACAGAAATCCCGTAATTTATTTTTCAGAGACGAAACAAAAGCATGTTACTACGCGTCAGTTGGGCTTATAATCCATGGGTACTTAAATTGGCAAGAGACGAAAGCACTTTACTTAGAAAGGGGTGCGTATATAAAAATGTTGATTGAGGCAACTGTTCTTGTAAGGCTGCATATTCAATACGAAGAGCACCCAACGGCGTCGGGGTTTATAGGGGATGTTTCTCAGATTCGGGACAGAAAGTCTTGTTCTTCTTGGAAACGAATAGAATTTCTGTGATCGTTTCGCGTGTGAGGAGTTTTGTTTCTTGAACATTCTAAGCAGAGTGACGTTCACTTTGTGCAGAATTCTGATATGCAGAAATCTAACTGCCGCGCGATTCTCGTATAGTCCTGGAACTCATAAATTGCCCACGTAACTTTTATAACGCACTTGACTCCTCCAAGAAAGCTTAATTATGTCATTAAATGCGCTTTGTTTAATTCATCGTCCTTCAATTGATAGTAAGTAAAGTCTTTATAGAGTCACTGGTCAGAGGGACAGTGGTGTCTTCATCGGTCTGTACAAGTGTGTAAAATTATGAAGATTGCCTCTTCGATAACATTTATTGCACATTTGTTGTATTTTCTTGATAATAAACAAATTCTGATGAGTTAGCCAATAGGAATAAGATATCATTCTGACGCTTCGCCGAAGTTCTCTCTCTCAGTCGGCAAAGTAGCGGGCCGTCTTTTGATGTTACGACAGCGAAACATCGGCTCATGACAGTCGTTCTTCATGCCCCAGTCATTAATTCATGCCGATATTTAAACTGGCTTTCTCATTCCAAGACTTAGTTGACAATTCTGCCTGAAAACAGATCCTTTTCATATGTATTTTTCATTTTGAAAACAATGTTGTTTTCATTTCATTTGATATTGTATCGTTGTGTGCATTTTATTGTCAATATTTTACTAACCCATTTACATCAGCTTCCGATCTCGTGGTTGGCTGCTACTACATCGGATGAGGACCACAAATGCCGCTCTCCTGTTCTCGTGCTCGGGGTAATAAAACTGAACATAAGAAAGGCTACTGTGTCTAAGGAAGAAAGAAATACGTCCTTGTATCTTGGTGGGACTTCATAGTACGGTGCTAAATTACATGATCTTCTTCTTCTGCAGTCCTGTTCTATCTTGTACTGTTCGCGAGAACACAGAAAGGTGTCCATGTTCGTGTTTGTAAAATTAAATATTTTACGTGCCACTGACTGCCCGAACGAAGGCTAGTTACGTGATAACTTAATTTGTGTTACGAAAGACGTTGTAGTCAGAGAAAGTTCGCCCACTGACTGCTGCTTCCCATTTCATGCAGTGATTGCAAATGAACGTTTGACTCTGTTGATGTGAGTGAAATTTAAGAAGTTAAGCAACGTAGGTAATACAGGATTAAAATATCATTGAAAGTTTTGAATGCATTCACAGAGAAAATACAGTAGTTCAGTATTCACTCTGTTTCCAGTATTAGCCAACTACAAATGTTGATAAATCTAAATGAGCGCCTAAATTTGGTCTGTTTTTCCTAACGTGACCTGCTGGGTCTAATTACACTAAGTCCTCGTTATCCGCCCACTCTGAACACATTATTGCTCATATCCGTTTCTTACTCTTTAACACCTTTGCTACCACAGCCGTCTTCGGCTTCCACATGACTCGCAGGGCTAGTAGTCCAGCCGCGCGCCACAGTTTGCCGACAGAAATACAGTAATTCTGTAAGCCAGAAGTAGATTGAAGACTTTTTGTGTTCCATCTGTTCACCGTTACAGAATATTTACTTAATGTATATTAAGATCAAACCAGAACATTCGTCAAGGCACATTTATGTTACCCATTTTAATATTATCCTTTGCCTCGAATTGTCAAACTACTCTTTTCAAGAGGCTATTTCGTAATCATTTCTATTGTCACAGTGAACTGTTTGGAACCGATGTTTTCGGTGTCGTAGAACGGAGTCATAGGCCTATCATGCCCTTCCATAACGAAGAGCGAAATGTAGGCTTCTAAATTGATCTCGTAGTTTTTGTGGTTTGCAGAGGCACTAAATAGGCCAGCTGAAAGAAACACGTGTCTGAATAACTTGTATCTAGTTTACCGTGTTCTTCTCTTGATCTCTGTAATTTCCAGTGAATTTTTGAACCTTTGATGATGATGTGGATCTAATGTAGTGAGCGGGAGGGTTTGATGTTCTGCTTACCTTAAACCTCGCTGCAGTGTCAGACGTTAATTAGAGAGAAAAGAAGTACGGATTGGAAACCTGGTAAGTCAACACAGGAGCGGCTGTACCTCTGACGCTCTTAGTTTCAGAATCTCCATGGGACCCAGTGAGATAAATACGCGGATTCAACATTTACGTCAGGTATAGCCGATGTCGGTGGCCTCTTGATGTTGGGATCGCGTTCTCAAATCCCGCTCAGTACATCGATGTTTGTCCTCGACTTTCTGTTTTGTGCTGTCGACTGTAATCGGTGACGTTGCTTGAGACGTGCTCATCACCAGTCCAAAAAGACCTGCATACTGACGAAACTATTTTACAATTTCAGACGTGTTTCTAAAATGAATCGGGCCACGATGCTTTATCTGTAATAATCCATCGCGATGACTTCATTTACCTTAGCCGTAATTGAAAACGAGTATCTGATTATGTAGGATTTTGCCCTGATGATGGAGGCGGCAAAGACCTCTGAAACGTTAGTAAACGTCTACCAGACTACAAGGCGCAACAACCCAGAAGGTAGCCTTCTTGAGTATCTGATTGTCGGTATCGTCACAGTCTTTAGGATATCTTATGAAGATAAACGTTAATCCTGTCCTGAAGTGGCATACCATAAAGGCGTATTGCGACGTGAGGGTGAACTTTCTTAAATTCATAACCTTGAGTGTAAATTATTACAGTGCTAGACTTCGTTCTTTACTTGGTGTTCTGAAATGTATGAGATAGGACGATTTTTATAAATTAGTTTCAACAATAATCGGAAGTCAATACAAAAATGGAAAAATGTCAGCCACCAATTTTTTTATTAAATTAATTCTCAAAACTTTTGTTACGTTGAGATTTAGTAGCTTGGTGTTTTCGCGACTATCTCGCACAACCTCCATCTTGACAGCTTACTCAATCGACTTTGATTAATTTTAATCTACACAACCAAACAATATTAACATTATGATTTATTTCATACTTTGCCAACTGACTTTAGGCATTCTATACATTGCCTATGTATTCTATACTTTGCAGGATTTCATACATTGCCGGTAACATATACACCAAAGATACACCTAATTCATAGAAAAGCAATTACTATTGATCAAAATGTCAATTAGTATACAGTGGTCGGATGACATGGTCTACGGACTATGACTTCAGTAAATGGAACTAAGAAATATAATTTAATTTTTAAAAACCCACAAGCAATAAATACCAGAAGATAATTTATTTAATTTGGAAAACGTAATCCAAGTATGAAATCCCCTGTTTTTAGTGATATTTATTCTATAAAATTTTAATCTCTCAAAATTGCCGTAACAGCAAGTTTCGCTAACAATGTATTTTATGTTTTTTCCCCAGACATTTTATCTGTAATGTATTTACACCCATTCAACAGACTGTCCTTACCTCTACACCTATTTGCCTTTCGAAACAACATTTGGCTGATATCCATTGTCGCAGTAGCTAAGAACTGAAATAATTGACATTTGTTATCTAGCGGGCTGTACTGACCGTGTGAAAACACTGCAGTAACCATGGTAATTATAATCTGAACAAGGAATATGTTTTGACGTAAATACATCTATAAGGAAGGGTCATTCGGCAAAATTGTGTTATGAAAAATTGTTACGAAAAAGTGTTATAAAAAAGTGTTACGAAAAAGGGAAACGAAAAATTGTAACTTCATTCTTATGTTACCTAGGACACCTCATCTGTTTACTCCGCATTGTTGTTGCGTAGGAAACGTCATCTTTGTACTCGGCATTATTGTTACCTAGGAAACGTAATCTGTTTACTTAGTATTGTTGTTACCAACTTGCCCGTCCAGTCGATAAAATCAATCGAATCACAGCGTCGTAGCTGAATCCCTTTAAAAACTGATTTTGCCTCCTGGGAAATCCGAGTGAGGAGGAGCATAACGTGTCTTAATAATAGGAGGGCGGAATGCAATTTAAAAGATGAGGTCCCCGTGACTCATCGGCAACTTCTCCGCCAGCTACGCTCTGTGGGCAAGTCTGCACACTAGGCAATGCTGTTCACTCAGTGATGTAACCAGAGTCAGTGGAACCACGGTTCCGGAGATTTTGACGTAAATACGCCAATAATATACAACGTAACTAACTAACTAGATGGCTTACCGAACACCAAGGTTCATCACCGAATTAACCAAAGCAATCCACCGGACCCTGTCCTGGGCCAACGAAATCCAGTCTCCTTCAACTCCTATCTCCCATAGATCCCGCCTGAGATTATCCTCCCATCTACGTCTAGGTCTCCCCAGCGGTCTCTTCCC